CCAGGGAACCCCCCCAGCCCCCCCCACTCTGGGGCTGTGATGTCATCAGTGACATCATCAGTGACATCACCATCACTAATGACATCATTGTGACATCACTGAGAGCCCCCAACCCCATTGAGGCCCGTGGGGGGGTCACAAACGCCCCCCACCCCAGAGCCCGAGGGACACACCCCCCTCCAGGGGCTGTGATGTCATCAGTGACATCATCAGTGACGTCAGCAGTGAGGTCGCTGTGCCCCAGGCATGAACCAGGCCCGGGCACTGGTCCCGGACTGGGATGAACTGGGAGCCCTCGCTCTGCCCCCGGCGGATTCGGGAACCGCCCCACGGGGGGGACGGCCCTGCCCAGGCGCAGGGGGGGGAACTGGGATGTACTGGGATGTACTGGGACATACTGGGCTGTAGCAGGCTGCACTAGGGGGTACTGGTCTGTACTGGTGGATACTGGGCTATACTGGTGGATACTGGGCTGCACTGGGTTATACTGGGACATACTGGTCTGTACCGGCCTGTAGGGGACTGCACTATGGGGAACTGGGTTATACTGGACTGTACTGGTGGATACTGGGCTGTACTGGGTTATACTGGGCTGTACGGCAGTATACTGGTCTGTACTGGGTTACACCAGTCTGTACTGGTTTATACTGGTCCGTATTGGTCCACTCTGTGCTGACTTTACTGGTCTGTGCTCACCTGTACTGGTCTGTACTGGCCAGTACTGGTCCAGAGGGGCCTGTACTGCTCTGTACTGGGTTATACTGGTCTGTACTGGGTTATACTGGTCTGCACTGATTTAAGGGCTCCGTACTGGCCGATTCTGCTCTGTACTGGTTTATACTGGTCCACAGGGTCCCACACTGCTCCGTGCCAGTCTGTACCAGTTTATACTGGGTTATACTGGTCTGTACTGGTTTATACTGGTCCAGAGGGGCCCCTACTGCTCCGTACGGGTTTATACTGGTCCGTGCCAGTCTATACTGGTCTGTACTGGTTTATACTGGTCCATACTGGTCTATACTGGTCTGTACTGGTCCGTACTGGCCTGCTCTGTACCGATTTTAGGGGTCTGTGCTCATTTGTGCTGCTCCGTACTGGTTTATACTGGTCCAGAGGGGCCCCTACTGCTCCGTATGGCTTTATACTGGTCCATGCCAGTCTATACTGGTCCGTACTGGGTTATACTGGTCCGTACTGGCCTGCTCTGTGTTGATTTAAGGGCTCTGTGCTCATCTGTGCTGCTCCGTATGGCTTTATACTGGTCCAGAGGGGCCCCCACTGCTCCGTACCGCTCCATACTGGTCCGTACTGGTTTATACTGGTCCATACTGGTTTATACTGGTCC